CCACAGAGCTGCTTTCCAGCAGGTCAACCCCTAATCTGTACTGGTGCCTGGGCTTATTCCCCCCCAGGTGCAGGACCTTGCAATAAAAAAAATGCAGTACGCTAAAAGAGAATTCACGTCTCATTGTTTAGTTGAACAGCTGTTCATATATATTTTATATATATATAGTTTGCCTCAGCCAGACAGTTGAAAGAAAATGGAAATGTGATGCATATATTCTGCATTTATAGTCCAGAAGGAGCATACGTAGGTGGCAGGGGACAATGCTTCCCCTCAGACTTTATTACAGCTAGCTATTACAACTGGGTGTAGTTTTGTGTGCACACACCTGACCCTTCTGAACTACAAAAAGACAGCAAATCCATGGCTGAGATTGTCACCCTGAAAAATCACCCATGATATTGTGACGGATCTGCTCCTTCCCCAGCTCAACCTGACTTCTCACACATAGCCCTGTTCAGGTGTTAACTACCACATTATCCAATCCTGGTAGTTGCCTCCCTGATTTCTTCCCCCACTCAGACATTAACCATCAATAACAGTCCTGATGGCCCTATCCTGATAGGGAGATAGGGCCAACTGTGATTACACCAGCCAACAGTCATTTCTGAATTGAAAAAAAGATGACTATCAGTCAATCATCTTATCTCATAAATATGGGATACCCTACCTTCTGTCAGAATATTATTTTAAATACCTCAGTAATCACAGTAGTACTATGTTGTTACACACACATACACACACATACATACACTCTCCTAAGTTGCTGCACAAGTCCGTTGCTGATTTGCTTATCTATACTCTGCATTTCAGCTTTTTGCTACTTTAGTTCAAAATCAATACATACATTTCCTAAACAATAGCTAACAACCTCTTGGAATAACTTTAAATTGAATTTCAGACACTCATTGCAACCAAATCTATTAACAACCAAAATGAAGAAACCGCCTATTGCGTAAACATTGTTGGAATTGTCTCTATAAGCGAGTTAGTTCATGACTCGTCAGACTGGCGATTCACTACACATCTGTGTCTGCCTATATAGAATTTGCTACAAATTGCCTCTCCAGACAGTTCTTTACATAACACATATTTAACTTATTAGTGCTGTCATTTGGGAGCATGGTCAGCTTTTGAAGGAACTTTCAGTGCGTCCAGTAGTACAGATCACACTGCAGCTGCCATTTTAGAGTAATGATGATTAGGTCTGAAGTTCAAATGATTTGATTTCATTTTAGAGCTTCAGAAGCAGCCTCTAGGGCAGCCTTACACAATTAATTTCTACTGAGGTCTGCTGGGTAATTTTATTGAAGTCTGAGAACTTTTACTGAGGAAAGGTATTTACCACTGGCTAATATATACAGCACTCTTCTTCTTTAGGAAGCAACATATTGGCTCCTGCTCAAATAAAACCTGCAGGAAAGTGAAGCAGCTGCTTCCAAGACACACACCACACATCTGGGACATTCAGGAGGAATAAGCAGAATTGCCTGGATCTGGACCAGAAGTTAGACTTGGCCTCCAATGTCTCTCCAGGAGAGTATATGAGGACTTACAGTACACAGACCGATAAATATTTTACGGAGTGTCTTTCAAAATTGAACTTCTGTCCCTGTGATTCTTTAATACAAAAACAAAAACAAAACAAAGAACCCTTACTTTAAATTGAACACAGAAGTAAACAGTAAAGCTAACCACTCCTTTGAGATTTATATTTTATCACTTACAAGAAGCACTTCCTAATAATCAATGGCAGCTAGGCTGACAAGCAAACTTCAGAGCAAAGCCATGGGGGATATGAGTCTATTTTAGGTTTACTGTTGACAGGGAGGGTCAATGGAAAAATAAACTCAGCAAGCAGTGTCAGGCCACCACAAACCTCTGCTGGCCAAGCTTAAACTAAATTATGGCCAAACCTTTCAGCACAATAGAAGCAATTGGGCAGCTGGGCTCCCCTGCAGTGCATAGACCAAGACATAAGAGATGAAGCAGACTAAGCATGAGTGAGACACAACATAAATTAGTAATAAAGAAAGCTCAAAAGATTGGAACTAACTATGGAACGAAATCACACAGGAGAGTAATGGCTAGATGATTTATTATTATCCTGTATTTCTAACAAGGGATAGAAATATGCACTGGTTCATGCACTGGTAATTCCTAAGGACCATCCATGCACTGAAGATCAGAGTCTTCAAATTTTAGGAGGGTGTTTAAAATCAGAGCACATGTCTAGTGGGTGATGCCAAATCCAGTGAATTTCTTGCCTATCCAGTCCATCTGTACTGTTCAGTTCCACCATTTGTTTAAGGCACTTGTTTACTGTTCTATTCACAGAGCTCTCGGCCACTTGAAATATCCCTGGGGCAGTGCCACCCGGCCTGGCTATGATTTCTGGGGGGGATGCCCTTAAGAACATGCAGGACATCAAACTACCAAATGTTTAATGACATGACTGCTGGTGTCCCATTATTCATTTGTGTTTCGCCAGCACCATTTTTGATCTGTCGTCTGCTGGTGTGAGCCAGCCCACACTAGGTCCTCTGTGTATGATTCTCATTAATACAAATGGGATGCATCCTGTATGTCTGAAGCCATAGTGGTTGACAGATAACAGTGCAGCAATATAACTGCAGAAATACCAGTTACCATGGTAGGTAACACCAGGTGACAGAACAAGAGAACGAAATCAAGGCAAGGGGCTCAGCTCCACTGCAATGTACTCCTTTCAGAGTCTTTGCTCCAGTAAATCATACTTCTGCTTTCCTTTCTTCCGTGCTCTTTGTTGACCCATGTCTTCAGATCCCTGCTATTTTATTTTTCCATAATTTTCTTTAGAAACTTGGCCGAATAAGGCTGCTGATTATGTCGACCATGAAGTTACGTGTGGTAAGAAAAAATATACTGAGTTCCATTTTTAGCCTCCTTGTCACCACTATTAAAATATTGCTTTCTCCAAAGTTTTAAATGGCATTTTCACCCTCTCTTCTAAACCTGTGCTTATTATGGCACATTTCTCGCTTATGTTTTTTTCTGTATAATGGCTCTATACTATGGCTGCAGATTATTAAATTGATTGGTGGAAAATTAATGGAGCAAGCAGCAAGCACAGAGAGTCATTTTTACTCCTACATTGTGTCTTTGATAAGTTGGCAGCAACAAGAAGCATATTAGTTATTGTAAATGCTCTTGCAGGCTGTCTTTATTACAGAACTTCAGTGAAACCACAGAAGAGAGAGAAAGGTCTTATAAAGCAAAAAGCAAAGAGGAAGATTCACCCTGCTTCTATTTAGTGGCTTGCTATCTAGGGTACAAAAGGGAAGGAAACTATGCATATTCAGGAAGCATTATATGTGGGAAGCAACAGAAAGGTGTCTTTGCATTATGGTAATCATACAAATCAGAGCCCTGCCTTCACCTTGAATTACATTACATTGCAGTGGCTGTGACTCAGCTTAAACTTTCTATAGCTCTCTTCTTTTTGTATCTACTGATCCATCCAATTCGGTTTATCTCCTGTGCTGCCAACATCTTGAACAGGCCACTGGAAGAATAACAAGTGAGCTGGAAATGAAGGCATGGGCCAGCTCAGTGGCTGATGGCTGTGGGATCTGAGAATTCAAGGAAATAAAACCCCTGAAGATTCATGTCTCTAGCACAGATGCAGTCTGAATATGTTAGGGGAAGTCAGTATTGATAGCTAAGTTGGTGGAGAAAGGCTTAGTTCTTATTCAATAAAATGAAAGTAGAATATATCTGAAAAGTTATTTTCAGTATGCATTACTTATGGATCCATATCCTGCTCATTTTCAGACTTTTGCAAGTGACATTTTTAGCAAGGCTCTCTACTTGTACGCATGCAGTGCTTTTGTCATCACTGCATTTTATATATGCTACAAGTCTTAGCTGCCTATAGAAATGGTCTCTGTTTAGAAGCAAGTTATACATGCCAGCAATCCTTGACATGGCCCCTTGGGAACTTAGCTGCAGTTATTGGAAGCTTGTCTGATTTATGGACCCTGCTCCAATGCAGCAGCAGCATCCCTTGCAAAAATAACAGGTTCATAGAAACAGCTCTATGAAATGCCTCTGCTTTCCTTCACTTCTGACCATTTTTGCAGTTGCCTGCTTCCTTCAGCTGGCAATCAAGTACAGATATTCTGCAAGAGTCCAAATATGCGTACAGCAAAGAAAGGTGGTTATAGTGCAAGTGAACACGGAATTGTCACCTGATGTCAAAAAGGTGTTCTCCTGAGTGCCTCAGATTTTTTAAGGGAAAATATGACTCAAAGGACAGTGTGATTTAGAGCAGCATACACAAATCACCAGCAGAGTTACTCATCTGTGAAATATCATATTCTAGAAATGCAGAATTGCAGAACTAACAGAAAGTGAATATTTAGGACACAGGTATAAAGTATTACATGAATAAACTCATGGTGGAATGATTTTACTTGTCTATTTTATAAGAATTATGGAAACCTCAAGTTAAAAAGAAAAAAGAGTCTATTTGAAAAAGTTATTATACATAGACAGAAAAAAACTGAAGTTTATCCAGCTGAACATGTTCTAAAGGACAAGTCCTAAAACAAATTCTAAAAGCCTTTTTCTCACAGACACCTGTTTTTAACAGCATTGCACAGTTTAATTAGCAGGATGCAAAGTTATTAATGCAGTCTGCTCCAAACAGTGTTTTTTCATTACCTTGTTCTGTGCTTTTAGATATTTTCAGTACAATTGTGAACAACTATGACCTTGGTTTTAAAGACCTCTTTGAGATTGCTACAGTAGTGAACAAAAACCATAAATTAATTTCTTGTAATTTCTCAAAGCCAACCAGGAACCAAAAAAAAAAAACAGAAATTTGAACTAAAAAGTAGAGGTCACCTATATTTACTGTACCAGAAGTTATTTCTTTCTAAAAATTTTCCCACAACAGAATATTTGTCAGAGGCAAAACAAAACTATAAAAACAAGCATACATAATGTGCATTACTTACAGTGTATTTCTAGAACCTGCATTGCTATCTGAGGTGTAGAGTTTAGGGACTCATGGTCTACTCTGCAACTTAAAACTGCACCATCATCACTGCGATCTGCTAGGAAATCCATTGTGCTGCTGACTGTGAATGTTTTACGATTTGCATCTTCTTCTTTTAAATATTTAACATCTGAAAGAAAAATAAAGAGTTTTCTCTCCAGTATTTTAGGAAAATGATCCAAACAAGAGAGAGCTACATTATCTATCAGACTTGTTTGAAAATATCTCTTTCACCATATTAATATCTTTAAAACAAAAATTATTGACTGTAGCTATTCCACAATTTGCTCCTGCTGTAAGAGCAGGAGATGCAGAAAACTAATTGGCTAAACGATAACATACTCCAAGGTAAATTCATTTTATGGTTCTCTCTTATATGTTTAGGTTTCAGTTTGATATCAACTTTCTCTGCACTTCATTAGAAATGCGTGGTCTCCTCCCAGCCTCACTCCCCTTAAGTATTCACAGTGTTACTAAATGGAAATTTTTCTAAATCGATGCTTATAATCTCTGATAGTAAGGTAACACATGAATATCATAGAAGCCAGGAGATCTGAGGCTGCATGTAGTCACATTAACCCTGTGCTTAATTTATCTATTGCTTATTCTTGTTTGGCTAGAATTATGTTCACTTCTGAATCAAAGTATAGATATCAAAAGCAAGAAACAATTGTAAGTAGTCATCATGTCACAGTAGTTAATGTAATTCCAGCCACACTGGAAGTATAATTATTCAAAAAATCTTTCATTCACTGCTTTATACTATGCTGAATTGAACTATTGTTTTTGTGTTAAGTTTTATCTCAAATGCTATGGTACCTACAGATTCAGAGACTGCGTGCTCAACAAGTACTCAACACTGCTCCATGCTAAGGTTCAAATTCAGAAATACTCCTTTTAGGGCACACAAGTTAGCTCAGAATTAAAGATAAGAAAAAGCCATAACATTTATTTTATGAAGTTATTATGCATTAGCTTACATATATACAGTTGCTTTACTTGCTTCTAAACTTACATTAGCCACTGATTTTTTTTTCAGCAAAATAATAAGATGAATATACTGATTAGTTACAATGATGACTTCTAAAGATTTATATATAGATATATAAACACGTATATCAAATTCCACTGAGATTGCATATATTCTCTGTGTCCTAATAAAAGAAAAAGAAAATGGGAGAGATGTCAGTTTTACAAATTACACTAAATCCCATTAGAGGGGATGACCTAAATAAAATTTCCATGAAATATCAATTTTAGAAAGCAAATTTTGAATGGTTTAAGCTACTTCTGTTTAGATTAGATGTATCTCTGAAATCAGAAAGATAGTCTTTCTCAATGTCTCCAGATAGATAAAGAGGCCACATAGTTATACAATTTATTTTTTTTTTCTGCCTAAAAAATAATTATTTCCTGTACACAGACTTTTTTTTTTTCTCCCCTTGGTTGCTAAGCTTTAAGCAGATTTCAATTTCTGCCAATGTGACTACTAAAATCTAAAGATCAAAAAGTGAGAGAAATATAAAACAAGTCTAGAAGAAAGTTGTTATAATAAAAAGCAAATATCTTTGCTAATATTTAAAGCAAATATTTTTCTTCCACAAGTTAGGGGCCCAAGCTTAATAATAAGCACTTATATAGTCTTCAATTCGTAAGACATCCATCACAGTGCTTACTAACTTCAGGTAGAGGACAAACAGTTCCTGAAAACATCCACAGTTTCAATCTCTGTGGTAGTTAATCCTTAAGAAAATAAAACCAATTATTTAAAATCTTAAATAGATATTTAGAAGTTTTACTTGACACATCTCTTTTTTTTTTTTAAGAGCCAACTCCTTAACTATCTCTGTAAAAAAGTATGGTGATAATATTCTCTAAACTCTCAACACTTTCATCAACAGAAATATTTAAGTTGATCACTTTAACAGCTGTATTTTCTTTTATCTTCACAGCAAAACGAAGGTGTGATTGTAAAATATGCTAACTTAATGTAAGTCTACCTGGTTACAAGTAGCAGTAAAGATGAGATAGTGTGCATATTACCATATGCTATTATTTAGAATTTAGAATGTTTACTTTGGGCTTTTGTACAATTTGTAAATGTGTCTATTTTAGATCCTTTTTTTATTCATTTATTTTTTGTTACCTCTCTCTCTTGAATACTCTTAAAAAGAAAAAGAAAAAAAAAAGAAAAATGATCATTACAGATGAATATCCTCTGGAATTCACTGCAATTAAACAAGTAGTGGGTTGTCAAGATAGAATGACACTTTGCATTAAAGGAGTGGGGGTCCTGAGGATAGATTGCACATAAAGCCACAGTGTGTTCTTACACTGGGAAATGACTGGCCTGCATCAATAACAGCCTAATCATCAAGGCAATGGAAAGGGTTATTCTCTAGTCAGAATTGTGTGGCTGCACCTAGAGCGCAACATGCCCAGCTTTCAGCTGCCCAGCACAAGAAGGATGTTGGCAAAATGGAGTGGGATCAGCAGAGGGCTGCCAGGATGGTCAGTGGCTGCGCTAAAAAACATACAAGAGCCAAAGACAGCTGGGCTTGTTCAACCTGCGGAAGGGAAGAGTAGAAAGGGATCAAACTGCTGTCTTCACGTATGTGGCCGGGGGAAGAAAATGCCAGACTCCTCTTGGTGGCTTGCAGCAACAGGAGAGAGGCAACGCACTCGAGTAACAAGGCACATTCCAATTGTGCGTGCCGAGATACCTACACATAACAGAAATTCCTCACAGGAAAGGCCTTTAAATACTTAAGTATATCGCACAGAGAGACCGTGAAATCTCTGACCTTGGAGACTGTTCAAAACTGGAACGGGGCCTTTAGCAACCTCATCTAACCTTTGAACTGGTTGGACCAGGCAATCTCTGTGGGCCTCTTCTAACTGCTACTACTCCACGATTCTGTCAGAGAGATGTGGATTGTTCCGGGGTTGACTACTTTAAGTTAAATAGCGTAAGATAAGGAACAAAAGTATCTTTTGAAAGATATTTTTTCTTCTTTTACAAGGCAAATATGACTTTTGATTACTATAAAATCAAATTCTGCCATGAAATGCTTCACACACTGTTTCATTCTCCTTTTAGGTGTTTATCAAGACAAACAGTTCGATGCCCCTCTGAATGCTTTGTATATACTAAAAATGCATAAACTAACTCAAAATATGTTATTACAAAATCTACTGATACTATCTTATTTATCTCTGGGGCCTAATTATAGATATAGAAAGATAGATGATGATAGAAAGAAAAAAAAAAAAAAGAAAATCCATTTTTAATACCTCCCGAAACCTAAATAGAAAGGTTTTACATAATATTATTGAAGTAGCAAATTCTACGGCAAAACCAGTCCATTTTTCTACAAAAGCTGTGTATTTAGCTTCTCTCCCATATTTGCACTTTTTATAATCTCCTTTTAGAACTGTCAACAAAATGGAGCAGTAGGAAAAAGAAATGACTAGAATGCTGAACTGCAGATAGCTTTGTTAATTTGGTGCCTATGTAAGAGATAAAACACTACCAGATAAAGATTCTTTTTTTTTTTTTTTTTTGACTAATAGCAATGGAGCTACAATTTAAGAATGGCTTTTTTCCCCTTTGGTGAAACTTTGAACCCAATGCATCATTTATATTCTTTCACATTATGTATAATATACTATAACACAATTGGATTTACAGGAGGTAGACAGATGAACTCCTAACCTTTAATGTCAGATGCATTAGCATATAATTTCATATCTATTTTCTCAGATTTATAATTTCACCTTTTGCAGTGCACAAGCTAATGTAACTTCTGCTGATGCCACTGCAAACTGGTTAGGTTATTTTATTTCTAACCTTTGTGAAAATGGCAATGTGCTCTTCAGCAGACCTAGAAAACTAAACTGAAATGAATGTGTTTAGTGTTCCCCTCTCGTTTCTATTTTGCTCTTTCGCTGTTCTCATTCATGCATCTTTTTTATCTCCCTTTTCCCCTTACTTTTAAAGTGCCCCTTTAGGAAATGTTGAGAACAGCACGTTAGTCAAATCACCAAATTGCCAGCTTGGCTTCAATTACATGTCAGCTGAAAGAAGAGGCAAAGTTATTACACTAGACTCTAAGATACAATCTTAAAATAAACAAAAACACTTTTGAAATGTGTTCCTTTTTTCTATGCATGTGGAATCAGTGGTTCTCTTCAAGTATTAACACTACTTACAGTTATTTTCAATCTTTACATTTCTTTAACATATTCATTCTGTCACCTCTTCTGTATGACAGGATCTCTGCAATGTTGTGCCATATGTATTAGCTGTGCTGCTAAATTCTTTTTTTTAATTATATTTGACAAGGTGCTACTTTTCTTTTAGCAGTTTACTCAGATTCCCCCTTCATATATATATATATAAAACATAATTTTAAATAATGCATACTTTTGACAATTGGATCATATTATGTGGAAGTCCTTTTACATACCTTTGACTTCTTTATCATTTTTGAACCATCTGATGTCAGCTGCTGGTTTACTACCAGAAGTCTTGCATGTTAGCTGCATCCTCTCTCCCTCCATAACTGGTGAAGTAAATCCAGTAATTTGTGGTTTCTCAGGAACACCTAGCAAGTAAAAAAGTAAAATGTCTCTAATATTGCCAAGTGATACATGTATGCCAAGTTATAAATATATAACCACTTTAATTCCTTCACATACTCCAGATTCTGGGAATAGAATATTTACTGCCTTGTCTTCCATCAAAATTAACTGAATCCTGTTCCCTAAACTGTCAACCTGAGCTGTCATTGAGTCTAAAAGAATTAAGAGAACAGATACTATCTAGTTTTCTCAAGAAAACAATGTTACTTTTTACTTTAAACCCTTATCTTGAGATGATCAAGCATGAACTGTGAGGATTCTAACAGAAAAATCCAGGAGAAAAAGAAAGGTGAAAAGAAATACAGGAGTTTGTTTATTTTCAGAAAAATGTAACAAAATAACTAGCAGCTATCCCATCATCCACTGGCTCCAAAGAGTTCTTCGTCCAAAACATACTGCTTTGGTAGAGGCCTGCTGAACACAAAATACCACACACACAATATTATATTTGGAATGGTTTGTTTTTAAATGTAACATGAAAGATTTTAAGGAATTCTGAAAAGAATTGGGAATATTTAATCACTGAAAGAATAAAACCATTTGACTTTGGAAAACACAAAAATAACTTATTTTAAGATGTTTCTGATGATCGTAATTTTAAATGTTCTGCAAATGTAATGAGATCATAGCTTGCATCAGAAATGCTTTGATGCATTCACATTTGTGTCTAGATAAAGGAATCAGTCACAGTAATTGATCCCGTGCCCTGTATTTCACAATTTGGTTTGTTTACATCTCTTTTCCAAAATGACAAATTAGGTACATAAAAAACAACCAGCAATGCCTATCAATCACAGAGTACATTTCTGTAATAAATCTATTCCTCTCTTTCAGGATATATATAATAGCATCTACTATAATACCCTGACACTCAAATCTTCTAATCCATATCAAAGCAGCCAAAGAAAAGATCATTAGTGCATAGATAATGTATCTGATTAGAACGATGTAATATATTTCAAAGGAAAATATCCCCTTCTCAGGTAGAAGTTGTTTCAAGAATTTGAAGTGTTACATTGAAATAGAAAATTTAAAATACACAATGAAAGGTTCCTAAACCGTGTAAATTGCTTTTTCGGAAGGAAAATCACTGATGGTGGGAAAAGCACATACAAGAAAACAAAACCAGGTAAAACTAAAGGGGCTGCAAAAGATCAAGTTACTTAGATGAACAAAAAAAAGCTATTTTTTTTCTATCATTGTAACACCTTTCTATGTCATTCTGCCATGAAAAAGGTTGAACTTACTTAATGTTTAACTTATTGTTTAGCTCATGAGATGAATCTCTGCAGTAAAAAGAAAGGCAGTTGGTATTCCAGAATTCTCTGCTTTGAATGGGTATTTTTTGTCCCTAAGGGAAACCTGTGAATATTTTTGTAAAATAGTTTCACAGGGACAGAAAGGGAAACATATTTCATATCCTATGCACAAAAACAATACCCTATCTGGATTAAGGTTAGCATTATTGGCACAGGAAATATATTAGCCTTACTAATTGAACTGTCTGTCTGTCCCTATATAAAAACAAAACAAAGAAAAAAGTCAAGTTCAGAGACAAAGAAGGGGATAGTAATAAAAATCTCTCTCTAAAATCACCTACCCCTTTAGGTACGCAAGTGTGATTCAACAAACTATGGCAATTTCAGCTGATTGGGCTGCTGACATTCACAGAATTATATAAACCTTCGAGCAGAAACTTTATTTCCTGGGCATCTCTACAAATCTGTCCCTTTCTATGTGTATCTATAACCTTTGGGAAAAACAGCAGAGCATTTAGAGGATAAAGCATAAAAGAAGCAGCAAACCCATTGAAAATATGTACCTTACAGACAGAAAAAGAAAGGAGGATGAGCCAAGAAAATGCTTGGCTAAGGAAAAACTATGAAGATCTAAAGCCTTGTTTTGATTTCATACTTTCTAATTTTCTCCCCTTTGCCCTATATTGTACCTTGTTAAGAGATGAACATACGCATTTTCTTCACCCTTTTGCTGCTTGGGAAGTAGAGGTCATGTCCATTTTAAGAAGCACTCATACTGTAGCATTTCTGTGCTCCGTAATTCATTATCCTGCCACAGCACAAGCAGTAAGAGGCGTGCTACTATTCAGCACTGCACTCCGAAAATAATAAATGACAGGGAAACTAGATTGGGCATTTACATGTATCTTCTGCTAAGTTTCAGAAAAGTTCACTCTTATCATAGCTCACCAAAGCTTGAGAAGTCTGAGCACTTGCTTCCTCAACATTGGTATGCTCAGTCATTTATACTCACCCAGAACGGTAAGAAAAGCCTTGGAAGTTTTGACAGGCATAGTAAATAAAGAGCAGGTGTACTGCCCTTCATCCGACAGAGACACATCACTGACGCTGATGCTCAGTTCATGCCACGAAGCTCGAACCAGCTCGATTCTGTTGTCCCGCAGAGCTGAAAAACAAAGATTCACAAGCCATAAGGTACAAAAGAGCCCATCAGTAAAGCTTGGGAGGTTACAGAAGATGCTCTACACAGTAACCTAGTGCAATCACACTCTCTCAAATGCAGAGATATGGATTGGTTAAAGTTATCTTTAGGCACACTCTTTTGCTCTCTCTATGGAGTAAGTTTCCAGATTTTAGCAAGTTTCAGAACAGTGCCTAAATGGCCCGTAGTGTATATAAACTCAGAACCCAAACGGCTATCAGTATCTTTGTTCTTCTTCTGGAAAAAAAAAAAATAGAGAGAGATCTCTGGAAATTGTCTTTTTTATTTTATCCCACTGTCCACTAGGCTGTAAATAAAATCAAGGAGATCCAGTGGTATTTAAGCTTATTTCACACTGTTTCTTTTTTGTTCCTGATACTCTTGGTCAAGGCCTAAACTTATTCCTTCCTAAAAGCATCCTCCCCATGTATTTACAAATGTAGTAACATTTTGAAAATTCTGTTTCCTCCACTAACAAACTATTTTCAGCCACAGAAGTGGAGTGTTACATAGCTTGCCTGTTCTCACATCCATTGCTAACCAGACTGAAAGGAAACACAGGTGACTCTTTAAGAGTCTAAGGGTATTTCTCACTAGGCGTGTATTGAAAGTTCTTTTTCTACTGAAAGCTGAAAATAGTGGCTGCTTTTTTTTTCTTTTTTTTTCTTTTCATTATGACTAGAAATCTGATTCGATATCAGAAAATCCATAGTAATACGGATAGAAGAAGGAAGAGCAGGAAGCTTACTTAAATGGAAAATGTCACTAATGTAGCTAATACTATACATTTTTTAAAGATTTTAAAACTTGTATTTAGGTTAAAAAAGATTGAAACACCCAAACATTCATATTTTTGAATTAAACTGTCTGAGAAATCCACATATATTAAGTCTTTCTGTAGCATAGAAATAACAGTCTCAGAAATAAGCAAGCACTGTAATTCTCCTAAGTGAACAATATAAAAGACTCTAACTCAGAAAGTTCTGCTGTATACCTCTAGATTCAAATCTTTCATCTGAATCTTCGCTGTGATGTTCTTTTACAATAAAACTCTGGAAGTAAAGTGGGACAATTATAATTGCAGAAAGATCTATGTTTTGATTTGTGAGAAGATCCAAGATTCACAGTCACCACTGCTGTTCTCACTCACTTCTTTTAAAAAGCTCCAAAGGCTCTTAAATTTCAGTTTCACCTAACATTTGTATCTGTTCACTGATAAAAATGAAGCTTTACGGTGGCTCTTGTGCTCCTAACTCTGGATATTTCTACATTATTGCGAGGTTATCTAAGTGCTGTCAGGGTAGGAAGATTTGCGCCAAAGTTAGCAGCTACAAAAGGATTCAGCAAAAATGTCACTTGGATTGGTTGTCTTCCAAGGCTCACGTTCAGGTTCCTTTACAACGCCTTCAAGCGGAATTTATTGGTGATTTCGAGGCAGGTCAGCTAAAGCTTGACTTATTTTTTCCAGGGTCTGATAACTTAGAGGTGACAGCTTAAGCAGGCTGCACATGCAAGTATGCCGTAAGCTGCTCCGAGGCATATCAAAGTGACTGAGATTGTTGGAAATGGACAACTACCAAATAAATCCGAGGCAGCTTCTGGCATCCTACCATGGCAAAACCAAACGATTACACAATATATATTGCATGTAATTAATAAACAATGATGAAATGTTAAAGTAAATAAGCAATAAAAGCAAAGTGAAAAGCAGCATACTACCAATATGCTGATATAGGAACCAGGGAAAGCAAGCTAAAGAAAGTCAAAAGCACATCGAAGCAAGCTTCTAACAGCACAAGATTGCAAATACAGCTGCTGCCTTGCAGCTCTACTGGGCCAATGTCTTTACAACAACGAAAATATTGCTCTCTAAGTAATAAGATGGAGAATTAGGATTCATTTCTCAGCATTTCAATTCTAGTCAAACATAAACTGAGCAAACATAAGAATGGTAGTTTATTTTGCATTACTGACCCTTAAAGAAAACATTTATTTTCAGAATGACCCAGTGCTTCCAAATTGTTTGACTACCACACCCAGACATATAATTTGGAGAACAAAATAAGAATTTTTTTAAAAAACAAATAAGCACCCCATAATTTGAAAGTGGTGATTTCTGCCTCCACTGAACCAGAAATTATATAAAATATAATGCAGTAGATCATCTTACATAATACTGTATTTTGTAATAATTTTCATTTGCTACTGCCTCCGGATTATTGGGTAAAGAGGGCCTCCAAAAAAGATTGATGTAGCTGTTAAAATATTTTCCTACAGATGTGGCAATATGCAGAATATACTCCACTAGAGGACAAAGAGTCTACAGAACGTGCCAGGAGCAAAGCATTTCTACCCTATTGATACAGAAAAAGCAACTAGTGAAATACGAACCAACTGCATCAACTACATTCCCTACTGCTGCCTTTCCTTATTTCTTTCCCTCTACACCTTTTTTTTTTAACCTTTGTACAACATAAAAAGCCCCAGCTCAGTCTATTTTCTGGAAAATTGATAAAAACAACCACTGATCAAGAACTAAGATCTGACATACCAAGTTTCAGCCTGGAGTGAATTTTTATTGAAAGCACAGGAAAGAAAAAAAAAAAAAAAGAAAGAGAATTTTATAATGGAAATGCCAACACAGAGCCTTTGCAAACATACTGCAAATAGAACCCACATAATATTCTTGTACAGGAAAACTGTTTGCCATGAGCATTTTTATTAGTGCCAAGTCTAAATGCAATTAATAATCTGTGCCATCAATTCCAAAGATAAACTTGTGCTAGCTTTCCTGTCTACAGAGATTTGAGAGCAACCCATTAAAAAAAGTCCAGCCTTATTCCACAGACACATCTAGCACTTGCATGGACTCTTGGTAGGATTTCATTTTCAAGCTTTATTCCCCTCCTATCGAAGTAATGAACAACACTATATATATATATAAAGCCATAAATGCCTGCTATGAAACTGATAGCTGTAATGGGTGTCAGACTGGGTTTGTTTCCATTTCCATGCTGGGTTTTACCTTTCGCTAAAAGGCTGAAGCCGGCTTGCAGAAGGCAGCCTGTCTACTCCTGCCTCCCGCCGCCTGGCTTGGCAGCATCCCTGTGGAAGAGGCTTTGAGGGCAAAGGAGTCACCTGCAGCACCGGAGAAGCCAAGAGGACATCTCGTGAGCCGGCACTTTCCAAGCACAGGGGCTGGCAGGAGCAGAGTCTTGCAGGCCATAACTCACTGCCAAGCCTCTGCACTTGATCCATCGCAGCATATCTGAGTCCTACTTGTTTAAAGAGCAAGGTTGTCCCATTTATTACTTTATATTTAAAGCACATGAGCTTCAAAAGTGTTTTCAAGGTTTTTCCTTCTATCAAATTTGCTGAAATCCATTTTACAAGATTCAAGCCTACTCAAGGTACTACCATTGCAGTATAAATAATGTATCTTAAAGTAAAATAGAAAATGTTCTCTCTCATTTAATTAGTGACTGAAAGCAGAAAGTAGAGCATGCAGAGGGGCATTCTGCATGAACGTAGAGCTTGGTGCACCCTACAAAATAGGCTCCTGATGTACTGAAATGTCCATGAATTGCTCTATAGCTATTGCAGTGAATATTTCCAGCTTCCCCCAAAAGTTAATAGGAAATGCCAAACTCGTAATTAAAGGGTCTATCTATCTCAACTACAGCTCCTGTATTGCATTCAAGTGACAGTATTTATTTCTCTACCTTTTAAAAAGGCTGTATTAATAGATGCATTAGTATTCCATGTGTGGCTTCTGAATATTATTTACTATTTATACTGCAGTAGTGACTAGAGAGCCTATGCACATACTAAAAAGACAGTTTTGCCCCTAAAGGCTTTGTTTTCACTTGACTTGCATCATGCCCTAACCTCATTCCTATCTCTGTCAGCTCTTCTATGTCCTCCTCTGGAAGCTTGTCTTCTTTCCCACTCCCCACTTTGCAGGAAGCCAACAGACCTTTCTAGCTTCGTCACAAGGATTTTCACCTGATTCCAGTATCACTATATAAACAGTGTGCACATCTGCATTTTCACATGTTACAGCAATGTTAGAGAAATAAATGGCAAATATTTATCTTCTGTGAGAAATGTCTATGTCAAAATAGTAAGAATTAATACTACCACCAGCCAGCTTGTCCTTGCTGGAATCTTGCACAGAAAGCACTTATAAAAAATGTAGGATTCAATGGGAAACATAATTGCCTAGCAAGTTCCAGTACATTCTTAGTACATTGGTAAATTTTTATAATTACCAGAAACATCTGATGTAGCTTCTCTGCAAGGACGTGAAACAATTACACATAAAATACTTCTTCCTGAACAGACAAACTCATTTATTTTACCTGCATTCCCTTTTTCTATAATATGCATGTGTATATATATATATATTTTTTTTTCAAAATGTTTTGGAGTCAGAAGATATTTCTTACAAGCAACCTAATAATTTGCCTGCTTAGGTTACTATGAGCAAAAGATAGTGCAGTGTACTTCAGCTGCATTAATTAGAAATTACTAAGACTGGTAAATATCACAATAAACTGATCTCCTTGTCCACAGTCATATAAAGCTATATATATATATTTTTTTTTCACAAAACAGTATAATGATCATATGTAGTGAAACCTTGGGATATAATCATATGTGGTGAAACCCTGTGATAGGAATTAGATCAAAAAAATAAAAGAAAATTAGATATTTGCACTATCATGGAAAAAAACCACTCATGTTTCCTACTGGGAGGAAAAGACACCTGGACCTTTTAGATACAGTAGCCACAGAGCAGTATCTATAATCTTATATCTCTAAAGAGACTATGACTTACTAGTGTTTGGAATCAAATATTTGAACAATGGAGAAAAAACAAACAACCAAAAGCCAAATCCTCCAGAGTAATTTGCAGATGTTTTGACAATACTAACTTGACATCTGCTGCCATCCCAGGATTC